GCCGACGATATGCGCATCTCCTCTTAATATTGATGATTCCCATAAAGTTTCATTGAATTCCAGCCGGTAGTTGCAGAGAACTACTCCGGAAACGAAATTCGGACGGACGGATGGACGGACGGAAGGACGGACGGACGGACGACGGAAGGACGGACGGACGGACAACGACAAAAATATATCCCCCTCCCGATTCCATCGCCGGGGGATAACAACAAACATTCAATTAATAATATTAACTTCACAAAATCTAATCAGCATCAGAAAACAACTTTAACTAAAAACACCCAATATTTACAAATATCTTCAAAAACAAACCACCAACTCATATAATCTTGACCAGACCAAATCACTCCAAAAATTCAACCAATATCAACCAAATATTACTTATTAAACAAATATAACTCAACTACCAAATATAATGCCACAGCCAAAACAACTAAATACAACTAATGAACCCGATCAATTTAGATCACCACAATCAAATTCAACCAACTTCAACAAATCAACAAAACTTCCTTTAAAACATCAAATATGACGTAAAGGTACCAAACAGATGTCTTCGTTTATTTACGCCACATCTGGTGCGTAAAAGAAACGTTATAGTTATAAAGTAAAATAAAACATCTATTACTGTTCTATACAATAAAATATGTGCATGTGTATATATATAGACGTTATTAATTTAGCATTCAGTATAATTTTCGAAAAAGAAAAAATACATAAAATAACTGGATCAAAAATACATACATTTTCTTAGAGAAACTAGGCTAGTAAATAATTTCAATAAGTATGAAAATAGCAGTTAATTATTTGAAAAGTTAGAATTTCGAAAAATAATAACTTGCTTTAATCACATTTGAAATTGTAAAAAGTAGATAATAATTTAGAAACATCGCTATCATTCAGTATATCTAATAAAGCTTATAAAATAAAATGAAAATTATCTATCTATTATCTATTTAAATTATGGCATTACGTTCAAAACTTATTTTATGTTATAGAAAAAAATCAGTAACCATATGGATACATTATGAATAATGTAGAATATAATTGTAAATATAAAAAAACATGCGTGAATATAGGGAGGTAATTAAATAATTATATAATTGACAAAAATAATGTATTTGTATAGATTAAAATAATTTAATAAACATTTCTAGCTACAGTAAATGATTACTGAAATAGAACAGTCTTTTTATGCCGATATATATTGGAAAAAATAATGATGAGTTTGTAAAAAGATGCAAGAATATATACTTGAAAAAAGATTTTATAATCTATAAAGCTTTTTTGCATTAAAAACCCTTCGGCCAAAATGTTTTTAACTTATGCATCCGATATGTCTCCTACAAAGTCTCCCCATTATGGAAGGGTATTAATGCCAAAATTATATCTTGCTTTCTTACGTTACATCGTGCTTTCAACTTGTACATCTTCCATTCTGACTTGTACATCTTCCATTCTGACTTGTACATCTTGCATTCTGACTTTGACATGTTGCTTTCTTACATGCACAGTATGCTTTATGTTGTGTGGGTCTTGCTTAATTGTATGTTGATATCGTTATTTAACGATCAATTATCATATTCATTTGTTGATCTTGTATATTAATTTAATAACTTGCAACTGTTTGTATTTGGGTCTATTTACTCAGCCTGAATGGCGAATGTCATAAGGTAGAATGACGCATAGCCGAAAGCCGAATGCAGCAAGCATAACACGACGCGACATCTGGTGTAATAATATGTGACACCCAAATTATACTAACAGGTGGCGCTACAGTTATAGTCTCGGTAAAGTCCGTATTGCGGTTCGGATTCAGTTTACCAAATTACATCCCTTCGTTAAAAATTTCCATTTCCACTATGGAGGAAATAAGGTAAACATATATACAAAACGATTTAACCATTTTTTTTATTTATTACTGAAACTCTGTGGGTAAAATCATATTTCCAGCTGACAATGACAAGTTGCACATTTCCAAATCAATGATTTTAGAATTATTTTTTGTCAACAAAATAATTATAAAATAGAACAGTTGCTCAAAGTGCTTTGGCCATAAAAAAAACATCTTAGTAAAATATATTATCCTCTTGAAAAGTTCCTAATTTTTGACATGGCTTATTTCCATTACCTGTGACCATCCACAACATTTTTCATGTGTTTTTATTAATTAGGACATTTTCTTGCCTATTTTCAAACTAGATTTGTAAACACATTGTTAGATTTTTTTAAATTCAACTTGTTAAAAAAATATCATTTTTACTAAGTTGAAATTATTCACTTAGATGCTTTATAAATACGGCACCAGGTTCTTGTTCACAGTGTCAGCTTAAAACTGAATCGAAGGAACAGCTGATTCTGAGAAGAAAAAAAAGTCAAAACTGTCAATCTGCGAGAGTGCAGCTTTAAGACGAATGATTTCATAATGTACATAAAAACAAAATGTACAAAAATGATCCCAAGAAATGGTTATAAAATGAATATTGCATGTTGGGCTAAAGTTTACGGTTGCACAAATGTGACATGTGTATGTTTTTATTTATCTCGTGCGCACGATATACTATGTCGTGGCCAGGAGTTACTAAGTTGGTGCCACGGGATAGCTAAGTCGTGGCCACATAACCAATCAGATTACACCGTTTATATGAATTTCCCTAATTAACTAGACATGTGCTATAGTACAAGGATGCACCTACTTTACCAGCCTCCAAAAGTGCCATTTATACAACTAATTGACTGGTCAATAATTTTACATTTAGCGTCACGGTGACCCTGATTTTTGATGACCTCGAAATAAGTAGATGTCATCTACTGATCTTTCTAGGTTATATAAACCATGGCTTATCCCTATTAAATTATTCATCAGACAAGGATTTTACCTTATAGGCTACCTACTGTCCATGGACAATGTCCCTTCCAACTTAAATAAACCAGGACTTCTTCGTTCTCATGTTATGGAATAAACAAGGTTAACAGGCTGTGGTACGTACAAACTGACCAATTCGATCACAAAAGAGCTATAGTCAAAATTAATGTCTGAAGGCCTTGGAAGGTGACTTTCTAATATGATCCTTAAGACAAGTTCAAAGCGAATATCTTCAGTATTTTCAAAGATTAATGTTGCATGTAACAGTAGGTTGTCAAGTTTAAAAAATTCATAATATAGATCTATATAGTGTATTTTGATCGGTTAATTATCTCGTGGCCCCGACTTCGCTATCTCGTGGCCACGACTTAGTAACTCGTGGCCACGACATAGTATCTGGTGGCCACGACTTAGCTATCTGGTGGCCACGACTTAGTAACTCGTGGTCACAACATAGTATCTGGTGGCCACGACTTAGCTATCTCGTTGCCACGACTTAGTACCTTGTGGCCACGACATAGTATCTCGTGGCCACGACTAAGCTATCTCGTTGCCACGACTTAGTAAGTCGTGGCCACGACAAAGTATCTCGACGCCACGACTTTGTAACTCGTAGTCACGAGATAAATGAAAATGCACACATGTCACCTTTGTGCCACCGTAGAAGATGCCTTCTTAGAAGTTTTCTTTATAAAAAGGCATTTTCAGCCCAACATGTCATTGTCAGCTTGAAATATAATTTGACCCACAGAGTTTCAGTAATAAATAAGAAAAATTTGGTTAAATCGTTTGGTATATATGTTAACCTCATTTCTTCCATAGTGGAAATTGAAATTTTAAAGGGAGACACAGACAAAATTTTCATTTCTTAGTTTTGAATTTTTCATTCATTATTCTGTACATGCCCTCAAAAAAAATATATTAGACAGCCAATGGAACAAAACTTTTTTCCATATAAAGAATAAAATGGTGGTTTCCTAACTTGACCCGCGTAGGTCAGGTTAGAGCGCTATGATTTCGCAATATTTGTCAAAGTAAACTCTGGAAACCTTAAAGAACATTTCAAATGAATGACATAGACTTGTTTCAATCATACAATATCCAAAATATCTGTTATTGTAACTTAAAGGGTTGGTTCAAGTCAACTGACTTGTTGAAAACTATTTGGTGATTCTATTGGCGTCTAAATTTTGTTCAACATATATAGATATATTTACGTTTCAAACTCAAAATATATGAAATTCAAACAGAAATTCATGATGAACCTTCAAGAAACGTCATTTTAGCCTAATTTGGGTACATAAGATCATTTTAATATTTTTGTCATTATTTTGCCTGAATATCCATTTTTAACAAAGGGACGTAATTTGGTAAACTGAATCCGAACCGCAATACGGACTTTACCGAGAATATAACTGTAGCGCCACCTGTTAGCATAATTTGGGTGTCACATATTATTACACCAGATGTCGCGTCGTATTATGCTTGCTGCATTCCATTTCGCTTTCGGCTATGCGTCATTTAACCTTATGACATTCGCCATTCAGGCTGAGTAAATAGACACAAATACAAACAGTTGCAGGTTAAGTTATTAAATTAATATACCAGATCAACAAATGAATATAATAATTGATCGTTAAATAACGATATCAACATACAATTAAGCAAGACGCACACAGCAGAAAGCATAATGTGCATGTAAGAAAGCAACATGTAAAAGTCAGAATGCAAGATGTACAAGTCAAAATGCAAGATGTACAAGTTAGAAAGCACGATGTAACGTAAGAAAGCAAGATGTAATTTTGGCGTTAATACCCTTCCATACCCATATTGTCATGAACTTTATCAATCGGCATGAAGGAAAAAGTCATCAAGTGAATGATCTTCGGAATTGGAATGAAGTACAACATTATCTTTATTCATTTTTTGCAAGCAGTATTTAAGAGTGATTAATCTGAATTATTGTATCATATTTTTTGTTTTTACTTAACAAGTAGAATTCAATATGAATTTATCTGAATTTTTGTATAATTATCTTTATTCAATTTTTTGCAAGTAGTATTTCGATATGAATTTTTATGGAGTTCAGTATGAACATTTTTATATGATTATTATCTTATGATTATTACAGTATGACTTTAGAAGCAGTAGGAGGTGGTACAGTGGTTATTGAAAATGCACTAAAATTCATTATCCGTGATGAGCAACTTATAGATATAAAGGTAAAACACTTTATAGAGGTGAAATCAGATTAAGCTTTCTCTCGATTTGATTCTCGATTATAACTTATGCAAACTGATTAATTTAATTCTACTGTCCCAATAAGTCATGGAAAACAGCATTTAAATAGAACATACTCAAACGACTTCTGAAAGATTTCTACTGATATTTAATATGCTATTGCTGAGTGAACATACACAAAGTCAGCTATATATCATTTAAACAAATTATGAGGTTAACTGGTAATGCATTGTGACCCACGCTTCAACGTCATAATAACGTTACGTGACATTATGTCAATGTTTCTTTTTTTCTAAGTATCATTTATGTGAGGGATACACTTTTTATGGTAATCCATTTTTTATACCAGACATAAACAAATTGTATTTTGAAATTCTAAGAACACTTAATTTTTGTGTCGCCTCTACGGAGTAGTGGCGACATATAGGGATCACTTCTCCGTCGTCTGTCTGTCCGTCTGTCTGTCTGTCTGTCCGTCCGTCTGTCTGTCTGTCTGTCTGTCTGTCCGTCCGTCCGTCACAAAACTTGTCCGGACTACTCTTCATAAACTACTGGTGCAATTTCATCCAAACTTTACAGGAATGATCAGTACCAAGTCTAGTTGTGCATATTGTCAGCATTTTCCGGTTCAATGATTTTTGGCAGAGTTATGGCCCTTTAATAATTTTTAATTTTAAAGTTTGTCCGGACTACTTCTCTTATACCACTAATGCAATTTCTATGAAACTTTACAGGATTGATCTGTAGCTCAAGTCCTTGCGCATATTGCAAGGGTTTTCTGGTTGAATGATTTTTGGCCGAGTTATGGCCCTTTGATAAAAAGGTTTCTTTTTCTGTGTGTTGCCAGATACACAAAAGCTTGTCCGGACTACTCCTCATAAACTACAGGTGCAATTTCATCCAAACTTTACAGGAATGATCAGTACCAAGTCTAGTTGTGCATATTGTCAGCATTTTCCGGTTCAATGATTTTTGTTTGAGTTATGGCCCTTTAATAATTTTTATTTTTTTAAAGTTTGTCCGGACTACTTCTCTTATACCACTAATGCAATTCCAATGAAACTTTACAGGATTGATCTGTAGCTCAAGTTCTTGCGCATATTGCACGGGTTTTCCGGTTGAATGATTTTTGGCTGAGTTATGGCCATTTGATTAAAAGGTGTTTTTTTTCTGTGTGTAGCCAGATACGCAAAAGCTTGTCCGGACTACTCCTCATAAACTACTGGTGCAATTTTATCCAAACTTTACATGATTGATCAGTACCAAGTCTAGTTGTGCACTGTCCATCTGTCTGTCCGTCTGTCACAAAATTTGTCCCAACATGAAATTGGCCATCATGAGGCGACACATGTGATTACTGATCGCTCTTGTGCACAATCTTAAATGTTTAATATAATGCAAACCGTTTGATGTCCATCTTCATTAACAATGTTTTTAATTTTCTGCACTGTTCATAATTATTTGACTATGGGCATACCATTTTTGCTAAAAGAAAAAAACCATTATCTGTAACAGGTTTCTTATGATGTATATCAAGAATGTATGACAAAACCCCACATGTCAAAACCCTACACCTCAAATTTTTAGAGTGGACAAATGAGTCTACACATAAATTTTATAGAGTGGACAAAACCCCACACCTTAAATTTTATAGAGTGGAAATAGCCCCACACTTTCTAATTATTGTTCATATAGATCTATATTAATAGCTTTTAGAGAGTTAAGTCTTTTATCATTCAATCATATTGTATTGTACATTCAAATAAATATCACTATTTACAAAGTTCCTTTGTTCACGATAATTAATGTTGTGTTTTATTGTAATTTTACCCATGAAATTTGCTGCTATATCAGTCATATATATTTCATATTTGTAAAAAATAAATATGAAATAAAAATATGAAAGTGGGCGGATTCAAAACTCATATTTATGTTAAGGGACTTCTTTCGCCATTTTGTTTAAACAAATCTGATATATGAAAAACAACTCTTTGTTGAATATTGTTTTGAAACTATCTAGAATGATAGAAAATGGTCTTAGAAAATAAATCCGAACACTCAGTCATTGACGCTGTACAGATGTTGAAAGAGTTGTTTACGTGACGTCACAATGTAGTGCAAAATAGCGCGTGAAACAAGATGCATCTACAAATAATCAATATTTTTTTTGCGCGCCGTACAATTGGAGTTGCGTAGCAAGCAATGGGGGCTCGTAATTATTTTTCTTTGATAATAAAATTAAATAAAAAGGCTATTTTTTTTCGTGAAAAATGGAATAGATCTATATTTTTACGAACCATGATAAAATGTCACATATTTTCCGTCCCGGCTCGTGAAAATATTTGGCATTTTGTCATGTTTCTTGAAGATATATTCCATATTTCACTCAAACGGAAAAATATCTACTTATCATTTAATTATACCCATGAAATATGGTGCTATATCAATCAAATATATCTCATATTTGTAACAAATAAATATAGAATAGATCTATAAATGTGAAAGTGGGCGGAGTCAAAACTCTTTTTTTGGGGATGGCACATATGCAAACAACAGGCCTGTATTAGTGCCTTAATATTTAATGTTTGCATACTTTTTGTTTCGCCTTAAAAAGGGTGACATAAAGGGATTATTTTTGTCGTCGGTGTTGGCGTCGATGTCGGCGTCTCCTCAGGCGTGTCCAGAGCATAACTCAGTCCCTATATGTCGGATTGACCCCAAACTTGGTATACATGCTTCTTTCAATGACATGAAGTGCATTGCTTCGTTACATTGCACTTCTTAATTTTTGAGTTATTGCCCATTGTTAATGTTCATACTTTATTTTTGTCCGGGCCATTTCTCCTAAAATATAAAAGCTATGGACTTGAAAATACATAAGATCATAGATCTTATTTAGAATAAGTGCAGTGCACAAAACCTGCAGACATTTTCACAAAAAATCTGTCGTAACTTTACGATAGGTCTTCCCCGTCCGTAAGTGTATTTTTTTCTCTCTTAAGGGTAAAATATCATGTATCTCTTACCTACACTGAATAAAAATAAACAAAAATAGACAAATATATATTAAGCGAACAGTATGCTATAAATTACACAAATTGAGGTATAATTATTTTTCAACATAAATATTTGTGAAGTCATGACTTGATGACGTCACGATGGAGAGGGTTATGAATAGTTCAAATGTGAACTGTACTGTAGTTATATTGAAAACTAATAATTTGTACATTTGGTGAGTTCGATTTAATTGCCAGCATGTACTAGTGGTACCTTTTTATTTATTTATAACATAGAAGACCTTGATTCTGAATCTTTTAGATATTTATAATTATCTTCAATCAAGATATAAATTATATCAGTTTGAATCATCTTTTTTGTTCTTATTGAAATTTGAATGTGTTCAATAGATATATTGCAAGCTCTTTATTACTTAATTTTAAAACCGGAATCAAATATAGAGCATGCACATCAATATAAAATGAACGTTGCTAGGGATCTTTTTATCGTAAGATTTATCGTAAATGAATTTTTTATCTTAAGATCAAATTTTAACTTACGAGTGGCTTTGTGAAAATGACTTAAGATTTAACTTACGATTATCGTAAGTCAAAACCTTAAGATAAATCGTAAGATTTTTTGTGAAAATGTCTGCTGGTACTCTGCACTTCTTATTTTTTAGTTATTGCCCTTTGTTTATTTTCATATTTCATTTTTATCCGGGCCATTTATCCTTAACTATAAAAGCTATGGACATTAAACTTCATTTGATGATAGATATCATTGAGATAAAATTCAGTGCACAAGAACTTGTACTTTGCACTTGATGAGTAAATATCAAAAAACAATTTAAGCATCTATCATACCGACTAAAATGTCTTTAACATCGAAACCTTAAAAATACAGTTTCAGTTTTAACGCTGCTACATATAACGTAAGTCTTTTTGAAATCATTAAAAAACAATTACATGTACGTCAAAATGACGCGCTAAACTGTTCAAATTAGTACCAAACAACGTTTAACGTAAGAAATATATTTTAATTAGAATCGGTAATAAACGTTTCTTACAGAGATTTTAATTTTCACGAAAAAGTAACAAGAAATCGAATCGAATTGCGGCAATTAAGAATCGAAAATCAAATTGTAAGCTTTGAATCCCAGTTCGGCATAATCGGAAATATTTGTTTCACTCCTATTTTAGTGTATTGGAATTTTTTATGCAGCCGCCATAAAATGACTGGGGTATATAGTGTTACCCTGTTCCGTCATCATCAGTTCCTATTATTAACTTGGCAACATCTGCACACATTCAACTTAAATTTGACATATGGAAATGTAGGTCAAGTTTGAATTTGGTCATGGTTCAATGATTTTTAAAAGAGTTATGCCCCTTGAAGAAATTTTCAGTTGCCGTTTATTGTCTCACCAACAGTTGTACACATTTAATTCAAACTTGAGGTATGGTTATGTTAAAGGAATACGCAGGTAAAGTTCGAATTTGGTCATGGTTCAATGATTTTTTTGTAGAGTAGTGCCCTTTTACTTTGAAAAAAAAATCAGTTTCGTTCATTATCTCCCCACCAGTGGTTCACATTCAACTCAAATTTAAAATATGTTCATAGAAATGTGCAGATCAAGTTTGAAATTGGTCATGTCGGAATATTTTTGGCAGAGTTATCTCCCTTGAACTTTAAAACGGATAAGAAATTTTCAGTTTCTGTTCATTATCTCCCAAACAGTTGTACTCATTCAACTCAAATTTGACATATAGAATAAGCAGGCCAAGTTTAAATTTGGCCATTGTTCGATGATTTTTGACAAAGTTATCTCTTTTGAACGTTTCCACACTCTTACTTTTTAGTTGAAATCACATGTGCAGGTAATTATTTAACTAGAAAATACAAGTCAAGTTGGAATTTGGTTTTGGTCCGATGGTTTTTGACAGAGTTATTCTTCTTTAACTTTAAATTGATTAATTTTCAGTTTCTGCTCTATTTTTTGTAAGAATGTATGTCTGAGGTTGACATTGCATGTGCTGGTATTTTACTAGAAAATACATGTCAAGTTCAAATTTGGTATTGTTTAGATGTTTTTTGACAGTCATCCCCCTTGAACTTTGAAAAGATGTAAGATGTAAAGATTCACAATTCCTAATTATTATCTCGGCTACAAATATGCAATAAGCAATTTGCAAAAGGTTAACACCGAATAGTTCCAGGGCCTTGAACTTTGTATAAAATGGTTTGTGTTAACATATAATAGTCTCAGGGCCTTTGTTTTTTTCAAACAGATTTTGAACTAAATATTATCATAGCAGATTAAATTTTGGATGCAAGTGGCATTACGACCCATTTCTAGTTATAACCTTACATACACTTTATCCTAATTTAGGGCTGAAGATTGAGGTCAGGGAATTTTAAGCATACTTTTCTTTTGTTGTAAGATTTAAAGCTACACCAATACATTTGAGGTCATGCGGCAACTAACCAGTTTTACTAGTGGAGAAAGACCTAAGGTGCCACTCCTTGCATTATTTTGGACTCAAGCGAGCGCCTGAGTAGAACCACTGACGTTCTATAAGAAGCTGGATTGCTTCCTTATAGCTTCACTTCCAGGATTCCAAACTGCAATGGTGAAGGGCAAGTTGTAATGAGCCAACAACTTTATCTAATCGGCCACTGATGTCCATTTTAAAGCATACTGTTGACCAATGATGTAAAATAGTTATCATACAGTACATGTACGTTAATCTATAATTCAAGCGGCTCAAGTATATATTGCAAACCAAAAATTACACAACGTTCAGCAGCACACTTAGAGGTAGTAAATTCTGGCAAAATACATGAGAGTTAATTGCAAGTGATATCCATAGCTACTCTATCATTTTACTGTTGAAATATCTGATCACAATTATTTTTGTCAGTTAACTGTTTCAGGTGTGCTATGATAGTTATGTTATTTTAGACTGTAACAGGCATGTTTTGATAGTTATTTCATGAGGCTGTACTAGGTGTGTAATGATAGTTATGTTATTTTAGACTGTATCAGGCATGTTTTGATAGTTATGTTATTATAGACTGTAACAAGTGTGTTTTAGTAGTTATATTATTTAAATCTGTAAGGTGTGTTATGTAATTTATTTTATTTGAGGCTGTATTGAGTGTGTTAGTAAAGTTATGTTATTTGAGGTTGTATCAGGTTTATTTTAATAATTATGGATTTTTAGACTGTATCCTGTGTGTTTTAAACGCCACCTTTCCTTGTTGATCTTGTTTATCATATTGGATATGTATGTTATTGTAGTTGTTGTATTGTATTGGTAGTTATGTTATCTTATACAATGTCAGGTGTATTATGATAATTATGTTATTTTAGACTGTATCAGGTGTGTTATGTTAGTTACGTTTTTTGAGTGAGTTTGTATAACGTGTGTTATGTTCATAAGATGTTATTGTGTCGCCTTGAAAAAGGTGACATATAGGGGTTACTTTTGTCGACGGTGTCGGCGTCGTTGTCGTCGTCGGCGTCGTTGTCGGTGTCGTCGTCGGCGTCCCCTAAAGCTTGTCCAGGTCATAAGGCAGTCATTAAAAGTCGGATTGACTTCAAACTTGGTATGCATGCTTCTCATAATGACCCGAAGTGCAGTGCACAAGAACCGATACTCTGTACCTCTTATTTTTTGAGTTATTGCCCTTTGTTAATGTTAATACTTTATTTTTGTCCAGGCCATTTTTCCTAAAGTATAAAAGCAATGGACATGAAACTTTATAGGATGATAGATCTCATTAAGAAGAAGTGCAGTGCTGAAGAACTGGTACTCTGCATTTCTTATTTTTTGAGTAATTGCCCTTTGTTAATTTTCATACTTTATTTTTGTCCAGGCCATTTCTCCTAAAGTATAAAAGCTATGGACTTGAAACTTCATAGGATGATAGATCTCATTAAGAAGAAGTGCAGTGCACAAGAACTGATACTCTGCATTTCTTATTTTTTGAGTTATTGCCCTTTGTTAATGTTCATTCTATATTTTTGTCCAGGCCATTTCTCCTAAAGTATAAAAACTATGGACATGAAACTTCATAGGTTGATAGATCTCATTCAGAAGAAGTGCAGTGCCCAAGAACTGGTACTCTGCAGTTCTTATTTTTTTAGTTTTTGCCCTTTGTTAATTTTCATACTTTATTTTTGTCCAGGCCATTTCTCATAAATTATAAAAGCTATGGACTTGAAACTTTATAGGATGATAGATCTTATTGATAAGAAGTGCAGTGCACAGAAACTGCTGATCTGCATTTCTTATTTTTTTGAGTTATTGCCCTTTGTTAATTTTCATACTTTATTTTTGTCCAGGCTATTTCTCATTAATTATAAAAGCTTTAGACTTGAAACTTAATAGGATGGTAGATTTTATTGATAAGAAGTGCAGTGCACAGAAACTGCTGATCTGCATTTCTTATTTTTTGAGTTATTGCCCTTTGTTGATTTTCAAATTTCATTTTTGTCTTTGCCATTTCTCTTAAACTATATTGTTCACAAGGCGACACATCCGACTCGCGGAGTTCTAGTATTAGACTGTATCAGGTGTGATATTTTATTTTAGACTGTATCAGGTGCTGTTTTACAAGTAAATACTGTTGTCATCCTCAAATTACTAGAATGTCCAACAGGAAACAGACTTGATATGAAAGGGGATCAACCTTTTTGTGGTATGTAATAATTACTTTGTCTGTCAGTACCCCATTCGAATTCAGGGCTTTGTCTTATGTACTCATTTCAAGTAAGTATTATTTTCTACATATACACACCAGTTCTCACATCAAATGCCTTTATCGGCTATACATGTGTATCATTGATAAGAAATGCATGTAGAATTCATTAAAAGATTTTTTTTTATAAGAGGCAGGTTATCGTAAAAATGTCGAAAGATAACAGTAACTACAGAAAAACATAAACCACAACATTTATAAAGTTTATGACGGGTGAAACTGAAGAGGGGAGGGGTTTTCAGCACATGATTTTCTCATAATAAATCTGTCAACATATGCATTGAAGACATGTTAAAACATAAAACATATTAAAACACGTCAGAGACAGCCCTATGAGGGATAACTTGTTTTGAATACCAGAAATATCCATTGCCCTGAAAACCTTTAGACTATTATTTATATGCAAGCATGCTGTATTTAATAATATAGTATAAGAACATGTAATATGTTTATAAAAACAACACTTTATACATTTTAGTTCCATGTTCTGTTGGGTACTATCTGAATAATGGAGAGTGTATGCCATGTGATTATGATCATTACCAAGTGAATGAAGCCCAAACAAAGTGTGATGCATGCCCAGATGGAAAAGTTACATACCGCAGAGGTGCCAAAGATATTGATGAATGCAAAGGTTTCTGAATATCCAATAAATGAATCATCTGGAATAAAGATTTATTTCATTTTGCTTTAATTATTAAAAAAGATAATGCTTGATTATAAATGGTATTATATATTAAAGAAATCAGCGACCAGGGTGTAGTTTAGCTATAAAGACCTGGTTGGCTGGGCAGCCTATCCCTTCCTTATTACTAACCCTGTGTAGGGTTTGGGTGACTTGTCAACCCCTCCATTCCTCATTACGAGCTATTCAAAGAGTCTGGGTGTCAGGATACCCATCTGTTACTTTTCTGAAAAGAGGCTGGGTGTCATGATGCCCATCTGGTTCTCATAACCTACACTGAAAAGAGCCTGGATGCCAGGATGGTCCATCCTTAATCTTATATAATTTCCAGTTTCTTTAAGGAAAGTCCTTTTATCAAATCCAGTAAAGTATAACCAAAAACATTTTTAAGAAATCCAGTAAAGTGTAACAGAAACGCATTTGCTATTTCTTTTCTAGTGAAATGCCCAGCAGGAAAATACTATGACAAGGTTGAAGACACGTGTGTTGCTTGCATTAGAAATTTTTATCAGCATGAGGAAGGCAGGAATTTTTGTTTACCCTGTGGCAATGAGTACAAAACTGAAGCTGAAGGATCTGATAGTGAAGATGATTGTCAAGGTGAGTTATACCTCAGTCCCAAACAACAAATAGCCGCCGGGGCTCTTCAAAATCGTAATATCGACCGTCTTTTGTCCATAAGCAGTGACAATCAGATGGCAGCAGCTGAATACTTTGCTTGGGTAGGCACCGTCGAGAATTAAGTACAACATAAAATCTAACGGCGTCCGGACGAATATTTTTGGGGTTAGTGAGTAAAAGATAAAAATAAACAAGAGGGCCATGATGGCCCTGAGGTCGCTCGCCTGTATATAGCCCCCCCCCCCCCACACACACACCCATAAGAAGATGTTTCATGCTAAATATCTAAGCTCTAGCTCATTGGGCTTTTTAAAAGAAGATTTTTTAAAGTTTTTACTATACACATATAGTAAAAACCATGACAACCCTGGGGCGGGGCCAGTTTTGACCCCAGGGCTTTTATTTGAACAAACTTTGTAGACACTTACTAGAAGATGTTTCATGCTTAATATCTAAACTCTAGCTATATGGGTTTTTTCAAAGAAGATTTTAAGTTTTTGCTATACACATATAAGGAAAATCAATGACCCCCCGGGGTGGGGCCAATTTTGACCCCATGGCTTTTATTTGAACAAACTTGGTAGACACCTATAAGAACATGTTTGATGCTAAATATCTTAGCTCTAGCTATATGGGTTTTTTCAAAGAAGATTTTAAGTTTTTGCTATACACATATAAGGAAAATCAATGACCCCCCTGGGTGGGGCCAATTTTGACCCCAGGGCTTTTATTTGAACAAACTTGGTAGACACCTATAAGAACATGTTTGATGCTAAATATCTTAGCTCTAGCTCTTTGAGTTCTTTAAAAGAAGATTTTTAAGTTTTTACTATATGCAAATAGGGAAAATCAATGACCCCCTGGGGCGGGGCAAATTTTGACCCCAGGGCTTTTATTTGAACAAACTTGGTAGACACCCATGAGAAGATGTTTACTATACACATATAGTTAAAAACAATGACACCCCTTGGGCGAGGCCAATTTTGACCCAAGGGCTTTTATTTAAACAAACTTTGTAGACACTTACTAGAAGATGTTTCATGCTTAATATCTAAACTCTAGCTATTTGGGTTTTTTCAAAGAAGATTTTAAGTTTTTGCTATACACATATAAGGAAAATCTATGACACCCAGGGCGGGGCTAATTTTGACCCCAGGTCTTTTATTTGAACAAACTTTGTAGACACTCACTAGAAGATGTTTCATGCTTAATATCTAAACTCTAGCTATTTGGGTCTTTTCAAAGAAGATTTTTTAAGTTTTTGCTATACACATATATGGAAAATCAATGACCCCCGGGGCGGGACCAATTTTGATCCCAGGGCTTTTATTTGAACAAACTTAGTAGACACCTATTAGAACATGTTTCATGCTAAATATCTTAGCTCTAGCTCTTTGAGTTCTTTAAAAGAAGATTTTTTAAGTTTTTACTATATGCATATAGGGAAAATCAATGACACCCTGGGGCGGGGCCAATTTTGACCCCAGGGCTTTTATTTGAACAAACTTGGTAGACACTCATTAGAACATGTTTCATGCTAAATATCTCAGCTCTAGCTCATTTGGTTCTTTAAAAGAAGATTTTTAAGTTTTTACTATATGCATATAGGGAAAATCAATGACCCCCTGGGGCGGGGTCAATTTTGACCCCAGGGCTTTTATTTGAACAAACTTGGTAGACACTCACTAGAAGATGTTTCATGCCAAATATCTAAGCTCTAGCTCTTAGGGTTTTTTAAAAGAAGATATTTAAAGTTTTTTCTTTCGGTTGCCATGGCAACCAGAGTTCTGCATGGAATTAAATTCTTTGAACAATTTTTAAAGGTGACCACCAAAGGAACATTCCTGTGAAGTTTGGATGAAATTGGCCTAGTGGTTTATGAGGAGATGTCATTTAAAGTAAAAGTTTACGGACGACGGACGGACGACGGACGGACGCCGGACGAAAAGCGATCACAAAAGCTCACCCTGTCACTTTGTGACAGGTGAGCTAAAAATTCATCGGCAGAGGGCGATCCTTTTGAATCGGGCGTTGCTTTTATGCAAAAAATCACAATCAGGTTTAAAAGGTGGTGAACATTGCCCTGGCTTCGCAACACTAGATTGCGAATAATTATCACCCAGTACCCGAATGATTTAAGAGCAGGCACCGGGTGGTGATCGTTTTGCCATGTACGGTATCTGAGCGGCTTGAGAAATTGTTGAAATTACGGCTTGAGTTTGTTGTTACTGCCTCAAAATGCCTTTGTAAATTCTTTTGGAAATAACATGACGTTCCTTCTCGCACAAGAACGTCTACACGGATTGTTTTTAAGGCAATGGCAAAATGTAATAGTTCTAGCATTATTATATGACAAGAGTTAGCACAGAGATGGTCGTAGGAGCGGTCTTTGTTGGTGAAACTACAACTCTGAGAAGGATTATCTATGCCTAAAGCAAGTGCCTTCTTTGCTGGCATATTGGCAACTGACTGCTTCATAAAAGAATATCATAAAATGTCAAGCATTTACCGCCCGGCGCCCGCACAGCGATCGTCAAATATATTTATGAATCACACAGGTGCAGTCTGGACATCAGGCGGCGGCCGCACGATCATTTGAATGCTTACGGTAAAAATCAATTCGGCAAAAATCCCCGACGACAGTTTAATTCGTGACCACGCACGGTATCAGATTTAAAATCGCCCAGCTTCCGCGAGATCGTCAAAGCCGCCAATGCCGTTAAACTGTTAAATAAGGCAGTGTCCGTTTTATTTGTGATGTAGTCATTATCTATATCAACTGTGAATAATATTTTGTATGCCCATACTATGGGAGGGAAATTAAGATTTACCCTTGTCCGTCCATCTGTTCTCTTGTTTTGTCGCACGTAGCTCAAAAAGTATTTGACCTAGAGTCATGACACTTTACAAGAAAGTTAGTCAGCAAGTGTAGTTATGCACCTTGGGGTTTGCTTATGAATTTATTCAGTATTTGTAGAGTTATTCCCTTGACTTAGTAAAAAAATTTGCAATTTTCAACCTGTGTTGTTAGCTCGTAAAGTATTTGACCTAAAATCATGAATCTTAACAGGGATGTTCTGCAGCATGTAAATTTGTGCACCTGGAGTTTTGCTTGTGGATATTTTTTCTGTTTTCTCAGTTAAATTATTGGCCTGAACTTGCTGGGTCATGGGGGGGTTGCGTTCATTGAACGCCGCCTTTCCTTGTTGATCTTGTTTTTCATATTTTAGTAAAAATTGCAATTTTTAATTTGTGTTGAGCGTGGCTAAAAAAATATTTGACCTAGAGTCACGAAACTTAATAAAAATGTTGGTCATCATGTGTAGTTCTGCAGTTTGGTGTTTGCTTGTGGATTGTACTTAGTATTTTAAGAGTTTTTGCCCTTGACTTAGTGAAAATTTGCAATTTTTAACTTGTGTCGCCTGTAGCTAAAATTTATTTGACCTAGAGTTATGGAACTTTACTGGAATGTTGATCAGTATTTGAAATTGTGCACCTGTGGTTTCGCGTGTCTATTAATTCTGTTTTGTCAGTGTTATTGGCATTGACCTTGTAAACATTTGCAATTTTCAATTTGTGACGCATATAGCTCAGAAAGTATTTACCTAAGTTATGAAACTTTACAGAACTAATGGTCAGCATGTGAAGTTGTGCACCAGGGGTTTTGCTTGTAGATTTATTTTGTTTTGTCAGAGTTTTTGACCTTGAGTTAGTAAAATTTTCAATTTTCATTTTGTCTTGCATAGCTCAAAAAGTATTTGACCCAGAGTCATGAAACTTTACAAGAATGTTAGTCAGCATATGCAGTTGTGCACCCTTGGATTTTCCTGCCCTTTTATACAGGATTTGTAGAGTTATTGCCCTTAACTTTGTAAAAATTTGCAATTTTTAAATTGTGTCGCGCCTAGCTCAAAAAGTATTTGCAATAATGTTGGTCTGTATGCGTTGTTATGCTCCTTGGGGTTTGCTTGTGGATTTTTTTAAGTTGTTGTAGAGTTTTTGCTCTTGGCCTAGAAAACAATTTTCATCAATTTTTAACTTGCGTCGCATGTGGCCCAAAACATATTTGACCTAGAGTCAGTGTCTTGACAAAACAGTGGAGTGTGGGGGCACCTGTGTCCTATGGACACATTTCTAGTTCATATTCAAAATGCATATGATATTTTTTTAAGTTCTTTTGACAAAAATCATTGTCAAATATAATTATGGTTAGATGGTCGGAATCCAGTACTTAAATTTTCAGAGTACAAATTCTGTTGTGATGGAGCATATGATATGATATTAATTATTTTATTCAGCTATATGCGATGCTGGAAAGTTCTTTTCTGGTTCATCGTGTAAGCCATGTAAAAAAGGGACATATAAAGAGAATGTTGGTGATGCTACATTTGGTGACTGTACTAACTGTCCTGATGGTAAAACTACCGAGAATTCTGGAGCAGACAGTGAATCTTTGTGTATTTTACGTATGTTTCTTCACATTATGATATGTTTTAACTAGAATGATTATGATAGATTCATACAATAACTTGTACAGAAATAAGTTATGAAAATGGAAAAAATGACCTAAATTTAGTGTATCAAATGATGATTTAAATAATATTCATGTGAAACTGGTAAGATAATATATTTTATATAATTTCTTCAATTGTTCTTGTTGCTTGGTCATGTGGGGGGTTGCGTTCATTGAACGCCGCCTTTCCTTGTTGATCTTGTTTATCATATTTTGTATCCCTCAAATAGTTTGCTATAATAAATAGCATTATGAAATCTCTCTACAGGATACAGATACAAATGTTTACCCCTGTACTTGCTTAATTAGATTACTGTAAAATTCAGTGGTAGTTTACAATTGTTTCATTAAACAATCGTCTTTCATATCTTTATCAGAACTAAAAATAGGTCATTTTATTTTAAATAGTAACATTAATCATAGATCAATTTTCATTGATAAAAAGGCTGGTCCTGAAAGGAGTTTTTTCCAATAGATATAAACAGTTTCACAAATCATGAATTTTACACAATCTGACTTAAGTTGCCATATATTATAATATTTTACTATAAGTGTAAACCGATTCTCTGGCAAGTTTATTAAAATTTCATATAATTGTAAATGACCTTCAAACACTTATTTTTCACACCTTTTCTAGCCACTTACGATGATTGCCAATCCACTTAATATTAGTTGTTGATTACTCAGTCATATGTTCTTACAGCCTTTGTATGTGTTTAAATCTGTGGGAATTTTAGTTAGCGCCCTTTGTCATTAACTTGTGAACGGCTCAAAATTTTGAGATTCAAGTGAGACCAATTCATGGTTCGAAGTCCTGATGTGTCAAAGTATTTTAGGTTCTAAATAGAATGATACATCCCAAATGCAGGTACTTTACTTTAGGTTCAAAATAGAATGATATATCCCAAATGCATGTACTTTACTTTATGTTCTAAATAGTAAAAAATATCTCAAATGTAGGTACGTGTAGGTGTTCTAAATAGAATTATATATATCCAAATATGGACAAAACTCCACACCTTGCATTTTATAGAGTGGACATTACCCCTCAATTTTTAAAACTGTTTAATTGGCAATAAATGAAATGGCATTGTTGCCACTTTGAATAATTAACTTCAATTAAGGTTAATGAATGTTTACCCTCTCATTTGTATTAAACAGTTTGTAATGTTTGAATGTTACCCTTTGATTTTTATACAACAGTTTGTAATATTTGTATAGTCTTTTATCATTTCATCATATTGTATTGAATACTCAACAAAAAAAGAAACCTCACACTTTATTTCTTTTAAATATTTTCTAATTTGTCATTTAAATCAAAACATGTGAAGTGAGTATTCATTTACTATAGATACACTACACATATTTGTTTTGACCACATACTAGTATTGTCAGTAGAATGCAGCTAAGCGGAAAATGTTAGCTTTTGAACTTGAACCCCGTGCATGCTGAACGATGTCAGATAGACAGTGATGTTAGGCACTATACATGTGTTCAGTAACAATATAGTGTTATCACACATAAAGTAGATAACTCTTACAATGCCACGATTATCAGAAGCAGAGAGAAATCAAGCAATTGGAATGCTGCTGAATGGGACATCTGTTGTTGACGTGATTAGAACGTTTAACTGCAGTTGCAACACAGTTCATGAACTTGTAAGAAGCTATAGACTTACAGGTGATGTGCACGATCGTCCAAGACCAGGTAGGCCAAGGGCAACGCATCAAAGGAACGACCGTGCAATTATTTTACCTCACTTACGTGACAGGTTCAGACCGGCGACCTTGACCGCGCCTGCGTTTAACGTAACTGCACAAACCATTCGCAATTGGTTGCGCGCACAACAACGCCCGATTAGAGCGCGACGCCCATATACAGGCGGTATTCTCACTTTACGCCAACGTCAGGTCCTTATTAGTGGGCATGTGCGCACTGTCACTGGCGGCAACGTGACCGGAATACTGTCTTGTTTTCAGACGAGTCTCGTGACAATTTCAGTCATGCCGACGGCCGTATACGATGGCCGTGTAAGAATTTACCGTCGAAAGGGCGAAAGGTTTGCACCTGTCTGTGTTAGACAGCATGATCGTTTCGGTGGTGGAAGCGTCATGGTATAATGGGTGGCCAAAAGACCCGGCTTATTGCTAGACACGGCAACTTAAACTCCCAAAGATACACCAACGAAGTCTTGAATGCCGAGGCTATTCCGTTTATGCAAAGAAACGGTCACGTTGTGTTTCAACAAGACAACGCCCGTCCTCACACGGCGAGGATAACTCGCGCTGGCTTAGCTGCAGCCAACGTCAAAATCATGCAATGGCCAGCAATGTCTCCAGATATGAATCCGATAGAGCATATTTGGGATGTGCTTGGCAGAAATGTCCGACGACATCACGCCCCACAGAATATCCTCCAACTGACAAATGCATTGATAACGGAATGGAACAATCTTCCAAATAACCTTGTTAAACGTTTTGTCAATTCTATGCGTCGATACGTTGACGGACTACTTTAGAGCCAGAGGTGGCCACATGCGATATTGAATTAAATGAAAAAATCGCATGCATTTTAAAACTGTTAATTAAATGATTATAACCTATCTACACGTAGTCAAAACGTTATAGCCACAAAATTGATAAAATGAATTTGACCCTTTCCTTAGAACTAGCGTAATTTAACAAACTTAAACATAATTAATAAAAAGCAAAATGCATATCAATGTTGTGCATACATCTCTTTTTCATGCCCAACATTCGTTTTAAGTCCCTACTATTTTACCGGAGGGGACTTTAGGTTTACCCTCCGCCCGTCTGCCCGTCCGTCTGTCTGTCTGTCCGCACTCACAGGAGAGTAATTATGTGGCTAGAGGGACAATAGGTAACTGTTCTTTCTCTTTGATGTCATTCATTCCGTAATGCTTTTATGTGGCTATTTTCTTTTGTGTGGCTAAAAAGAACAATAGAGAGAACAATAGAGTAGCCACATAATTACTGTCCTGTGAGAACGTCCGTCTGTCAGTCCGTCCGTCCACAAAACTGGAGCCTGCGATAACGCAAAAATTACTGGATATATGGATAGAAAGCAGTATGGAGATTATGCACGTCTTTTATGAAACTTGAAATATGGGTAGATTGCACTCTGGATACTATGCACGTCTTTTTCATTTCTTCCTATGTTGAAAATTTTGGTTGCTATGGCAACAAATAGACTGAAAATATGGCAAATGTTACACATACATTAATTCCATAACTCAAAAAGTAATGGAAATATTTCTATGAAACTTGACATATGGGTAGATGGCAGTTTGGAGATTATGCATCTTTTATCTTTTCTTTCTTTTTTGAAAATATAACAATATTTGTGATTAGTCAAAAAGAGCTGAACATTTTTATGAAATTGCATCTTTATTTCAAGAGTTGTCTCCTTTTTAAGAATTTTGCTTTTTAAAATGTTATATTTTGGTAACAAATATTAACTTTAGAGTGTCCTTCAGTCCGCCCGTCTGTCTGTCTGTCTGTCTGTTCATAAAAACTGTTTCCTGTGATCACTTTTAAAGAACTTTTCCAACAAATTTACTTAAAATAGAGAAATGGCCCTTCAGAATGTTGCTGGGGTTCTAACCGGTAGGGGACTTATGGATTGCTTGCAATACTATGATAATTGCTTGTTACATTTCCGTCATCGATTTCCTGAAAATAATAATAAAATATACACTGTCAGATTTCTATTATTTGCTGAGTGTATATTTAAAAATATATAACATACCATTAATTATCATGATTAAAGTAACTATGTAAAATAATTGAATTAACTTTATCAAATTTTAGTAAATAATTTGTTTTGTTCTTTTCTACTGAGATCAAAATCATTTATATTGTATGGTTTTATAACAAATAATTAGAAAGTGTGGGGTTATGTCCACTCTATAAAATTAAAGGTGTGTGTTTTGTACTGATAGAAAATACTAATTTAGCAGATCCTTTTATGTACTGTAATACTTTAAGTGTAGAACATCAAAACATTCACATACAAAATGCTTTAGTTTATAATAGAACGAATTTTGCATACAGCTTGTATAAACTGTAACTTTAAATATAATTTTAATAAATTATCTGAAAATGTTATTAAAATTTAAATCAAATAAAGTACAGCTTTCAGGACAAGATAATGTCCTTGCCATTTTAAGAATTCATATTTATATATACCCCCCCCCCCCAATAAATAAAATAAATAAAAACAACAAAAGAAAACAACAACAAAACAGTGCATGACATAAATTCATAAAGTATGCCCTTTTACTTTATGTAAAATTAGTGAATCAATATGCCTGATACTAGTTGTTTTTAGGATAAATAAATACCTAATCCACTGAGATAGTCAGAGATCTGATAAAACTTGCCACATGTGTTTTACCATCATCTATGTATGACTAATTTACTGACTTGTCATTCCTACAGTTCAGGCTGTTCCATGTGATTATTTTGGGGAGGGATAACATTATATATTTCATGTGCAGAATTTGTCTAGGACAAACTTGAGCTGGCTCAGGGTGAGATTTTAGAATCGTTGAATGTCCATCGAACGCCGTCATCCACTCGTCCACTTTTATTTTGTTCACACTCTAGTGGTCACGTTTTTCCTCAGTTGTCATCAAATTTGGTCAGGATGTTTGTGTAAGTAATTCCTCGGATGAGTCCGAACATGGGTCATCTCGAAAAAAAATGGTCACAGGAGCTAAAAATAGAAAACACTTGTTAACACTCTAGTGGCTACTGTTTTGATCCAAATATCCTGAAAATTGGTCAGAAAGGTTGTTTTTCAATTATGCTCGAATCTGGAAACTGGTCAGAAAAGTTGTTAATGTGATTTCTAGGTCAATTTCGAATATGAGTTATTTGGGGTCAAAAACTATGTCACACAGTCTAAATATAAAAAACCTTCTAAACACTCTAGGGGCTACTGTTCCTGTCAAAATATCATTTTTATTAGTCAGAAAGGTTGTTTTAATTATTTATAGACTAGTTATGAATATGGATTACTTCGGTTCAAAAACTAGGTCACACAGCCCAAAATGGAGAACCCTTGTCCACATTCTAGAGGCCATTGGTTTTGTCTAAATGTCCTGGAAATCGGTCAGATGTTTTGATGATTACTAGGTCGAGTTTGAATATAGAATATTTGGGGACCAAAAAAGTCACACAGCCAGAACATAAAGAAACCATGTTCACACTCAGGCGGCTATTTTTCATTCAGCGTCATGGATATTAGTCAGAAAGGTTGTTTTGATTATCTCTAGGTCAAGTACGAATTTGGGTCAAATGGGCTCAAAAACTAGGTCATACTGTCTAAGTATGGACAAACCTTGTAAACATTGTATGGGTTACTTTTCCAGTCCAAATATTCTGAAAATTTGTCAGAAAGATCGCTATGATGATTTCGAGATCAAGTTTGAATATGGGTTACCTAGGCTCAAAAACTAGGTCACACAGCCCAGATATAGAAAACCTTGTATACACTTAAGGGGATTTTGTTCTAGTCTAAATATCCTTGAAAGTAATCAGAAATGTTGTTTTGATTATCTCTGGGTCAAGTTCGAATATTGGTCACTTTGTGTCAAAAACTAGGTCACACAACCAAATATCTTGGAAATTGGGATTAAGCCTCCATAATCAGGTAACCAATATAAGAGCCATCATTGCCCTCTTTTTAAAATTTAAATATCCATTTGTTACTTTTGTTACATTCAATGAATGGAAAATAAAATAATCAGTGTTTTGATTTGTTTTTCATAATGATGGACCTGTCCAGTTAAACAGTTGTAAATTTTAATTCTAAAACATTTTGGTCAGCAAGCTTGGGAATAGTGCAAATCACAGAGGATCTACTTGCTATTTTAGGAATTTTGAGATATAGTTTTGTTTAAGTGTTTAAGCATTTGTATGGTTATTAAGTGTGGTAGGAATCAGAATCACATGGGAAAATGAGATACACAACATAATCAGGTAAATATATTTTAGTTACGTTTATGCAGAAACAGGTTATATTATAAACAATCAAAATATATTACAGATGGTAGCAAATTTAAACTTGTAACCAGAGATCAAGGTTGTTGTTATATTTTTAACTTCATACATTTGATTTACTAATAAATGATGTAAATCTAGATTTGAATTAATTTTTAAGATCAAAAGTATTCAATGATTCTTTATAGTGATTGTGTATATTGTATAAATAGCATGATAGTAGATAATGAAAAAGTTTAAATAGCACTAAAGGGTCCAATAAGTTGTTTTGTGCAGCTGAATGATAAAGTGTCAACATAATGTATTTACTATTTTATGAGTTGATTTCAATGAAAAAAAAACTGACATTACATTTTACATACACTGTAGGCTAGGACCAGTGCTGACTGTGAGATGCAAGGTGTTTAATTATGATATGCAGTATTGAGTCTGAAAAGGTATATTTTTAAATATCTATACTGTACTATTCTACAAAAACTACATGATAAATATTGTCACAAAAAGTGCAGTTAATTAAATCTTATACAGAGCAATTCTTAAGCAACACTGGTGACTGTGCACTGAAATGAGATATGTATAAGTAAATATTGTTGAAACATTTGAATTTGATGATATTAAAAATATGCAATGAAACATTATTTCTTCCCACATCTTTTTTTAAAATTAATTATGAAATTTATCTTTTAAGGTGAACACAACCACAAGAAGTTCTCCAATGAAACATAATCAGAGGACTGAAACAGACATTAATGAAAGAGATAGTAGTTTAAATAACCAGAAAGAATTGAAACAAATTTATTATTTAAAAAATTTCTTACTGACTAACTTTGAGCAAAACTGATTTTATCTAAGAAAACTAGGACCTACAAAAAAACCTGTTGATAGAAGTAAAAATGTTTGTGTAATAGTGAATATAGAATATTCTATTCTGTTTTTGAACTTAAGGATGTAAAGGGCAGGATATGTATTAAATTTTTGTGAAAGAAAAGTATGTATACATTATTAATATTTTCATCCAGAAATATGTGACCTTGTTGAACCCGTAAAAAATTCCACCCCAAACTTCCTGCCCTTGATTTCGTCTTAGAATTCTGCCCATAACTTTGATTCATTATTTTACCCCAAGGTTCTGCTCTAAAATTCCGCCCCAAGTTATTTGCATATTCGTCTTAATTCCGCACAGAATCCGCCCAATTCCGCCTGGAATACGCACAGATCCCGTGCCAAGAGCAAATTATTTAACACTTGTATACTCGGGGAAGAATTTAAATTTCTAGGCGGAATTTGCACATTGAATTTCGACCCATTTTCATGCCAAAAATTTCATACAGCAAAGGGAGACAATAGATCATGCAAATGAATGATAAATGTGGTTGGAAATCTGAGGCCAAAAAAGACTCTCCAAACTCCAATATCACCTGGTTGAACAAGTTCTTTCTTTTAAAAGCTGAGCAATAAGCATAGAAAATTAACTAATATTTATGACATGGCTGTAAATACTGAATCTACAAGTATGCACAATCTAATGAGTTTAAAGGAACAAAACACTTCATTATTTTCTAAATCTTAAAATCTAATAAATTATATTATATTATTTTACTGGTACATGTGCCTCGAGTGTGGTTGTGATTACTTAAGTCTATGTCATTAAAGCTAAATAAGAGTTTTACTAATTTGCTGTTTTTATATCCCCGAAAAACGATGTTTTGGGAGATGAACTAGAGTCAGATGGTGGTTTGTAGCTCGGTCCAATTTTTCTTTTGGAGTCAATGGCCTTTGTTAATTTTTACACTTTTAACTTTGTCTAGAACATAACTATGAAAATACAAGAGATATCAACAAGAAACTTAGAAGGTAGATAGGTTCCTTGAGAAGAAAAGCAGTGCATAAGAACCGTAACTCTGCCTGGATTATTTTGGAGTTATTGCCCTTTGTTCATTTTTACATGTTGAACTTTGTCCGGGACAGAACATAATAATTATAAATGGATATCAACTTGAAACTTTATAGGAAGATACATCTGAATGAGTAGAAGTGCAATACATGAGAACCGTAACCCTCCATTTTCCTTATTTTTTGAGGTATTGTCCTTTGTTCATTTTTGCACTTTGAACTTTGTCCAAATCCAAACTTTGATTCATCTTATTGATGTAGGACAAATTATTCAAAACATTTGAAAAAAAATCTATAAACTTCTGCATTCTCCCTGCGTAACTGGGGTTATCGGCACTTTCTAGTCTCAATTTCTTGTTAAATAATGGTTGAAATGAAGGCATTTGTAGTTAAAGTCTCTGACCATGTGAGCATTAAAACGGCTATAAAGGCCGTTGCATATTATTACAAATGTATAACTTCTACATAAAATTGATTTCTATATGTTATAGACGCAACTTCTAACTTGGATATTCATATATTTTAGACCCAACTTCTAACTTGCCAGCAATATTGGGCGGAGCTATAGGTGGAGGCGGGGCTCTACTGCTAATCATCTTGATAATAGTGAGAGTGTTCATGAAATTGTCCAGGTATGACATTAGGTGCTTAAAAATCTGTTAAACTTTTACATCTTAACATTACAAATCTGTAATAATATTCCAGTAGTAATAATTGAACAAATTTAATTATCATTTATATTGAAGTGTACTATTTAGATATATATTTATGTAAATATTAATAATTTGAAATAAACTCTTTTGTATAATGTTAATGTATAAAGTACTAGATTGACCTAGTACCTAGTAATCTGTATACTGGTATTTGTTTTGACTATGATGACTTATTTTATATTTTCAGAAACTCAGTTTCAAGAGCGACGAGACATGAGCCGTATCATGATCTAGAGCATATTCAGAATGGAGGAAATGATGGAATTTACGACACTTTAAATGATTACAATGCCAGCCAGGTCGATCCAATAACTCCATACGCCATTGGTTATCAAGACCAAAGCTTAGAGGACGAAACATGCGGAGATTCATTTAGATACCATCCGAGCATTAATGGAGAAGATCCTGGTCGAAGGGACGAAGAGTCACGCTTGTAGTCAAATTTCTGGGCACTTACATGTTTATCAATTTTGATCCAAAGTTTGTGGATGTTATAGGGGCAGGAGTTTCATGTTTAGTTTAGTTTAGTGTGAATTCAAGGCATCAGTCTTCTGACACATTACTCATTGTTGAATAAAGAATTAGAGAATAAACAAAATAAATATTGTGCCATAATAAAATGGATTCTGATTTTATACTTTTTCGGTATAAAAAAATGTATGTGCCTGAAAAATTATTTGATGCTTTATCATGTATTTAAATGCAGAAATGGCATACATTCTTTATAAGGAAATATTTTTCACAGAGGCTATATTTTCAATTTTGCCGTTTTGGGCTTTCTTTGGGGATTCTTTTTTTCTCTATTGTATATAATTGATCAAGAACTAAAGGTAATTTATGATTATTCTTTTTGAAAATAACAAAACATATATTTAAGTATTTTTGACTTCTTGTATATCTGTTAGTCTTGTAAATCATGATACAGTGTACATTTTGTGTGTGAAAAAGGAGCTATATTCTTGACTGGCATTGGTTAACTTTTTTCTATGATATTTTTTACTTACAACTATTAAATAAACATAATATGTGGATTTACCTTGCTGATCTTTACCTGCCACAACCATTTTCAGTTTCAATAAAACATAAAAATAGCTACAAAATCCAAGTGCATTGATCTAGGAAATTCAAATTTTGTATGTACATGCTCTTTAGATAAGTCCTACTTTCTATACTCACTTTGGGTCAAAGCTTAAGGTCACGATGCCCTTTTTAACTTTTTTGTTTAGTTGTGTATGGTTGTCCTTGATTCCGTCCATAATTTTGATTCATTACTTTACCCCAAGATTCTGCTCCTAAATTCCGCCCCAAGTCAGTCCTTCTTCCCATACTCATTTTTGGTCAAAGTTCAAGGTCACGATGCCCTTTTTTAACTTTTTTGTTTAGTTGTGTATGGCCAATATTGTCAATTTTGTCATTAAACTTTAAATCTTTAATTTTTATGGTCCCCGAAGGGAGAGTATATAGTCGCCACCTTGTCCGTCCGTCTGTTCGTCCGTTGTCTTGTCCGGAGCATAACTTGAAAAGCCTTGGAGATAATTTGTTTAAACTTCATACAGTGGTAGGGGCATTGAGATGGAGTGCAGTGTCAAAGAACCATACCTTTAGTTTGCCCGGTTATTGAATTATCTCCCCTTATAGAAAAATCTTGTCCGGGACATAACTCTAAAACTATAATAGATATTAACATGAAACTTTGTAGGTGAATAGATCTCAATTGGTAGATGTGCAATGCACAAGAACCATAACTCTATTCGCCCGTTTTTTTAATTATCTCCCCTTTTAGAAAAATATTATCCGGGACATAACTCTAAAACTATAAGAGATATCAACATAAAACTTTGTAGGTAAATAGATCTCAATGGGTAGATGTGCAGTGCACAAGAACCATAACTCTTTTTTGCCTAATTTTGGAGTTATTGCCCTTTGTTGATTTTAACACTTTGAACTTTGTCCGGAACATAACCCTAAAACTATAAAAGATATCAACATGAAACATTGTAGGTAGATAGATCTCATTGAATAGAAGTGCAGTGCAAAAGAACCATAACTCTGATAAGCCTCATTTTTGAATTATCTCCTCTTTTAGAAGAATATTGTCCAAAACATAGCTGTAAAACTATAAGAGATATTAACATGAAACTTTGTAGGTAGATATATCTCAATGGGTAGATGTGCAGAACATAAGAATCATAATTCTGCCTTGCCTAATTTTGGAGTTATTGCCCTTTGTTTATTTTTACTTTTTGAACTTTGTCTGGGACATTACTCTAAAATTATAAGTGTTACCAACATGAAACTCAGTTGGTAGATAGATATCATTGAGCAAAAGTGCAGTACAAAAAAAACAGAACTCTGTTTTGCCCAATTTTTGAATTATCTCCCCTTTTAAAAAATCTTGTCCAGGAAATTACTCTAAAACTACAATAGATATCAACATGAAACTTTGTAGGTAGATGGATCTTAATGGGTAGATTTGCAGTGCACAAGAACTTGAGCTCCGCATTGCCAAATTTTGTAGTTATTGTCCTTTGTTCATTTTTACATTTTGAACTTTGTCAGGGACATTACTCGGAAACCATAAGAGGTATCAACAATAGACTTTGTAGCTTGATAGATCGCATTGATTAAACGTGCAGTGCAAAGAACAGTTACTCTGTCTTGCCTTATTTTGGATTTATTGCACTCTGATTTTTTTTCCAGGCAAGGTGTACTTTCCTGTGTCCAAAACCTATTCTGGGAGCATCACCCGGCTCAAACCGGGCTCTTGTTTAACTTTTGAAATAGCTGTCAAGCCATTCTAACAACACACTGGTGTACCAAATATACAGTGATGCTGCAATAAATCAAGTAGATATTGAAAACCGTCTTGGTTATGAACAAGTAGGCAAAAATGTCATCAGACAACCAATTCAATCATAGATGACATTGTTAATCAGAAATCAGTTAATACTGTTGATTTGATTATCAATCCCAGCCAAGATGACTCTTAACCAAAATCAAAACCCAACAAAAATCTTTAAAACTCAAGGCAATATGGCGAAATGAGTAAACAATATCCAAGTACGAGTGCTCCGAGTAAGGTTCGCCTGTCACAAGTAAGCTGGGTGTAGCGTTCCCCTGCCACGGATACGCTCTTTTATTTTGCGGAGCAAGCAAGCCAGATGGTTTTATCATTTTACATCATAATATTTGAGTATTTAACTCGGATCTTAACAATTGGAAAGTCCCAAGAAGCAACAAGAATTTCTAGTTCAATACTAGTATTGAATAAAGATGTCAGTAATAATTAAAGGAGAACAGCGACTCTTGAACATTGATATTATACATTTTCAATGGAGGTACATGAGGTCTTTTATCTTATAAAACAACAATAACAACAATTTCAATGGTGTTTAATTAGCACTTTTGAGACAACGGTCACCAAATATATATATATCAAGAAATGTTTTATAATAACCGACAATTTTTATTATTATAAAAAGTAAAGTTTTGACCAATTTGTATCTTCTCATAAGAAATCTTGACGAAACGAAAAAAACAAGATTTTGTAGAGATATACTGTTCCTTGACTTTTACTTTCCTTAACAAAGAAATGTGATCTTGTTAATACAAACTAACAGGTTTTATTTAAGGAAACGTATTTCTAGTCAATTTCATCTACTTAATTTCTGTAGAACCAGAATATTCACTATCACCAGACATTTTTTCTGACTGTTAGCACCTTAACAATGTTTTCAGTGTGACTTACAATGATAAGAGCTGATCTGTCTATTTATTCATCATGTGTGGGGTTATAGGGTTATCAGATATGACTGTTAACTATCTGTGTCGTTTAGTTTCCATATTGTTTGTTTGAAACATTCTCATGATCCTCCGCCCCGGTTTATTTCCTCATGTATATCAATTATAGTATGTGATTAAAAACAGTCCTTTGCGTCATAAGATGACATATTATTTTCATGTGTTTATTTCCAAAAGTTCTGAAGTTTATTATGCTGCGAGTCTTTGTCACGTGTGATGCTCAGGTCAATATTTCCTGCACATTTACACTGAATTGCGAACTCCAACTTAATTAACATTATAACTTCGAACTCCAACTAAATCAATATTAAACCTGGGAACTACCAAATACGAAATACAACAGGTTTTCTTTAACGAAACTTATTATCGTATAATTGGCTTTCATTGCGAACTTCCACCTAATCAATATTATACCTGCGAAGTCACATTAAATAAGCATTATGCCTGTGAGTTCCCATCGAATCTTGTATCTGTGAACTCCAGCTGAATCAATATTATACCTAGCTTTAATTGTGAACTCCCGCTGAATCAATATTATAACTGTGAATTCGAACTTTATCAATATTATACCTGTGATCTCCCGATTAATCGATATTATACCTGCTAACTGACACTGAATCAATATTTTACCATATCTATGTTTTACATGAACTATTCAATACATTTGTAGTTCAATACTTCATATATTTGATGTTCTTATACTATTTCATTGCAGTGCTTATCAATTACCAAGCATTTAAATAGAGCACAAAGTGCGAATATTTTGCTTTTGATCGGAGAAAACGAGCTTTGCTAACGAATCTTATGCCTGCTTCGAATTATTTTCATTTTCCCACGCTTAACCTTTATTTCCGGACGAAATTGCATTTTCTCCGCGAAACAAATTGGGAAAAAGAATATGGGAAACGTTATCAATATCATGCAAAGAAACACCATGTTTGAAAGAAAATATACCATAATATGATAGAAAGATACAATACTTTCTTTTATCAATGTTAGTGGATGTGCTTTTGAAAATAGCTCATAGATGAACGAAATTCTTTTAGCCATGCAGATGATTTGATTTGATATAAAATGAAATGATTGGCGGGCTAGGCGGCAGATGTTAGCACAGAAGGAGACGATAGCAGCCGTCAGTTTTAAAGGATAATTTAGCACTTTGTAACCCACTGCTTGTAATTTAACAATCACAACAACAACAAAATTTATGATTAATGTAAAATCAAAACTATTTTTGTATTGTATAAGTCTTCTGGCAGTTTTAATATTAGTATTATTGTTTATATTTCCTTCTTCACAAGTGGTTGTTGCTTCTATAGTCTGTATTTCCACGTTATCAGACGCGTCATTATTCGTTGCTGCTTCTTCTGTTTGCATTTCTTCGTTAAAAGTCTCATGTAATCGTGATTCATACGTTTGAATATTAGCGTCGTGTACACGTGTTTCTTTACATCTTGTTTGTGTTGATATGTTTGCCTTCTTACCACGCTTCATTTCTGTTCCAATTGTCCGAGTTCTTTTCCTTTGTTGTTGTTTGACAATTGTCTGTGTTTCCTTGTTCGTCGTCTGTTTAGTTACGACAACTCGGCTGTCCGTCTTTCTCATGTGTAACTCTAACAAAGTGCTCAGCAAATAATTTGTTGGGAATAAATCTTCAGTAGTCTTTCCATTATCTATCAAAATTTCCTTTCGACAGAGAGGACAACTGACTTTGTTTTTATTTTCAATTATAGAAAGAAGACAATCTTTGCAGAAACTGTGTTGGCACGGAAACATTTTTGGGTTTTCGAAAATTTCAATGCATATCGAGCATGTCAATATTTCCTCCTCCATTGTTTTCGTTTATAAGTATATTTTCTTGATAGGTTTTGTATATTATCTGTAATTAAGATAGAAAATACAAAATTGTAACTGTGATTCCTATAAATAATGAAAATGTTGTAATTACATATCTTTATATTGTATAGAAGTAAAATCAATCAAAGAAGAAATAAATGATTGAGCACCTATTAACTGGGATATATTAATTAACATCACTATAGTATTAATACTCTTCCTCGAGTTTTTATTTCGATACCATTATTATATAAAATAAGTAAGTTACAAGATACATAAATAACTAACCGTAAACTTCCTAGTGTAAATCCGTGAATAACAAGTAAAGGTAAACAAGTTATGTATGTTTATCTAACCAAATGTATGGTGACATATTTCTGCCAACAGTTTAACGCTAAACTAATCATCTCATATAAACTAGGAAGTTATATTGTTACGATCGAACGATCGAACGAACATAACACGAAAGTTTTACAGATTGATAGATATTAATCTGTTATACAACTGGAACGTGTTGCACTTGCGATAACCACTTCAAGAATTCAATACTGACATATTTTTCTTAAACGGACACTAACTACCGGTAAATAGTAAACGTTATTTATTTTGGTTTAGATTTTACGTCTCACCAACACAGTATAGTTCATATACGAGTATATGGCACAAACGGGCACTTTGAGTGCAACAACCGACGCTCTGTGAGCTAGCTAGCTGGATAGCTTCAACACATGACAGACTGTTAAGATTTGAACTCACAGTGGTGAGGGGCAAGTGGTTTGAAGTCAACGATATTAACCACTTGGCCACGGGCGGGATAATTAAATTGTTGGCAGAAATATGCCACCATACAAATAGTAGTTAATTTTATATCTCAAGTCAATAGATAATACATCATATATCAAATGTAGCGTGCATGCTCGTATCTGATAACAGAAGGCGGAATAATAGAGAATAATGTAAAACTGTTTTAACTGATAGATCAGTTCGAGTCGTTACGATAGTATTGCTTCTAGATAAGCTACATGGATAACTTTAATGTTATGTGTTCTCATTATGAACAGGACATTAAACAGTCAGATTCTAATGAAAGTCAAGGAAGATTAGATCACACTGAAGCACTTACATTAATGTTGATTATTAAATGATTTTAAGCGTTCTGGCAATGAAAAGTTTAGTTATAATAAATATAAAAAAGAGGAAATATTTTAACAGTGTGTAACAACTGCGTGTGTAAATGTAAAATGTAACGTGATCTGACGTCTTATTAGTTAATAACGTCGGAAGTAACCTAATGTCAGACTAGTGTTAAGTAGTGAACCAAATGTCAGACTTTAGTAAATAATGAACCTAATGTCAGACTTAAGTAAAATAATAACCTTAATGTCAGACTAAAGTTAAATAATGAACCTTATGTCAGACTTAAGTAAAATAATGAACCTCATGTCAGGCTTAATTAAAATAATGAACCTTATGTCAGACTTAAGTAAAATAATGAACCTAATGTTAGACTTAAGTAAAATAATGAACCTCATGTCATGCTTAATTAAAATAATGAACCTCATGTCAGACTTAAGTAAAATAATGAACTTAATGTTAGACTTAAGTTAAATAATAACCTTATGTCAGACTTAAGAAAATAATGAACCCTATGTCGGACTTAAGTAAACTAATTAACATAATGTCAGACTTACGTAAATTAATGAACCTTCTGTCAGACTTAAGTAAAAATAATGAACCTTATGTCAGGCTTAAGGAAAATAATGAACCTCTTGCAGACTTAAGTAAAATAATGAACCTTTTATGTCAGACTGAAGTAAAATAATGAACCGTATGTCAGACTGAGGTAAAATAATAAACTTAATGTTAGACTTAAGTTAAATAATAACCTAATGTCAGACTTAAGAAAATAATCAACCTTATGTCGGACTTAAGTAAACTAAAGAACCTAATGTCAGACATAAGTAAAATAATCAACCTAATGGCAGACTTAAGTAAATAATGAACGTAATGTCAGACTTAAGTAAAATAATGAACCTTATGTCAGACTTAAAGTAAAATTATGAACTTAATGTCAGACTTAAGTAAAGTAATCAACTTTATTTCAGACTTAAGTAAAGAATGAACCTGATGTCAGACTGATGTAAAATAAGGAACCTTATGTCAGGCAAGAGTTAAATAATGAACCTGATAAAAGACTTAAGTAAAATAATGAACTTTATGTCAGACAAAAGTTAAATAATGAACCTGATGTCAGACTTAAGTAAGTACAAAATGAACCTAATATCAGACATAAGTAAAATAATGAGCCATAATTCAGACTCAAGTTAAATAATGAACCTGATGAAAGATTTAAGTTAAATAATGAACATAGCGAAAGACTGAGGTAAATTAATGAACCTTATGTCAGACTTCAGTAAAATAATTAATCTAATGTCAGACTTAAGTACAAAAATGAACCTTATGTGAGACTTAAGTAAATAATGAACCTAATGTCAGACCAGCATTAAATAATGAACCTGATCTCAGAAAAGCGTTAAATAATAAACCATATGTCAGACTTCAGTAAAATAATTAATCTAATGTCAGACTTAAGTAAAATAATAATCCTGATGTCAGACTAGCGTAAGGATTGAACCTTATGTCAGACTTAAGTTAAATAATGAACTTAATGTCGGACTAGAGTAAGTAATGAACCTGATGTCAGACTAGCGTTAAATAATGAGCCTGATGTCAGACTTAAGTATAAAAATGAACCTTATGTCAGAATTTAGTAAATAATGAACTTTATGTCAGACTTAAGTAAAATAATGAACCATATTCAGACATAAGTAAAATAATGAACCTGATGAAAGACTTAAGTAAAATAATGAACCTTATGCCAGAATTAGGTAAATAATGAACCTTATTTCAGACTTAAGTACAAAAATAAACCATTATTCAGACTTAAGTAAAATAATGAACCTGATGAAAGACTTAAGTAAAATAATGAACCTTATGCCAGAATTAAGTAAATAATGAACCTTATTTCAGACTTAAGTACAAAAATGAACCTAATGTCAGACTTAAGTAAAATAATGAACCTCATGCCAGACAAAAGTTAAATAATGAAGATGATGTCAGACTAGCGTTAAATAATGAACCTGATGTCATTCCAGGTTAAAAAAAAATCAAACAAAAACAGGAGTAGATAAACTGGCGCCATACTGCCGATTAAAGTGGGAACATGACAGACAGATAGTACAGTCCTTGGGGACCTTTTGTGTTATACAAATGTAAAGCTAAATGTTTAATGTTAACAAAAAATTTAGGTAGACATGTCAAATCATGGTACGTTTTGAGAAATCCAAGATGGCCGCCAAGATGGCCGCCAAATTATTGAAAAATGGGTAATACGCAATTTATATGATAAAATGAGTTCTTTTTTGTATTTATTTTGGTACAGGTGATGTTAAAACTTCACATCCTATTGGAACAATATGAAAAATGGTCATTTTCCTTTTTCTTATACATATACTCTTGTTTTCATAGAGAAATTTTGCTAAAAAAGCATGAAAAAATATTAAAAATCGACATGGGGCTGGCATTTTTTCCTATCAGTCGAGGCATAGTGGTGAAAACTAATATTTTTACCATATTATACAAAGACCTAATCAACAACTTACTAATTGTACCTTTATTTTTATTTTTATTGTGTAAGAATGTGAATTCTGACATTTCTAAAGTGGATGGGGTACACGAAAATTGAGTCCCAATTTCTAGTGAACTGATATATAACGATTATTAAGACTAAGAATAACCAACAAGATTACATTTTAAAATGTTCTTAAGTCTTTAATTTTGTAAAAGGTAGATTTTCATTCTACCAACAACATTAATTGGTTCTGTTGCCATGGCAACACAGTGGTAAAATGAGAGAAACCCGGAAAAGTATGATGCTTTCAGTTTTATCATTTCAAGCATGTTGTAGAAGTTAATGTCATGATTATGCATTACAGAATACAGAGTTGGATACATGTGAAACATTAAAAAAATCATTTCAAATTTCACATTTACTTTCCATGAAAAAACACAAATTTGAATTAAAACATCGGTAACATTTTGCTGAACCGTTTCTGTAACAATAACAACGCTTTTAGTTTTAGAGGCAAAAGATAATAATGAAATCTAATCAGAGTTATATTGAAAAATAAAATTTATCCTTGATGTTTGGCCCGATATGAGAAAAAAACGTTTTAACATTCTTCATTTATTGGTCATTAAATGATAATAATAAATAACAAATAAAGCAAAAATAATCCCACAGATCAAATGTGATAACTTGAATGTGATAAGAAGGAATAGACAATATGTCAATATGTTGTGATGAAGAACGTCTTAAAGATCATGTGCCATAGATGCATCTGGGAAACCTAAATGATTGTGTTCTCATCTCTATGCAATACAAGCCCAGCTGTAATATTTTAACAGTTGGAGAAACATTGATAAAATCACCATTTTGTGTTAGAAATTTGACACTTTCTTCTATTCTAAAAAATATAGAGTAGCATAAATTACAAATTCTGTGTAGATGTCTTGTTACGCAAAACAAATAGGCCATATTCCACCGTTGCCTCAAAATTCTTTATAAATTATTTTGTGACCTACATGTCAGACCACCTAATGCTTTGTTATACGGTCAGTATGTCTTAAATGATCATCAACAAATTCCGTACTGTTTATCAAATGGCATCTTGTCTTATTACCAAAAAACACCCCTTCATTTAAACACATTAAAATAAAGAAAAACAGAATCCGTAAAACGTTGTATAGAATCTCCATTGTTTTACCTATTGAACATCGGATACAGTAGGGACAAACTCCAGTATACATTGAGAACAAGCTACAGAAGAATGTACACAAAACTTAAAAACGTGAAAGTCTCAAATTAATTAAATACAATATGCTGTAACTCAAATACTACTTGAAAATAAAAACAAACAAATTAACATGAACAAAATGCAACTTTATTGCATTAGTACAAAAAAAATTCAAAGTTGTCCGGCA